ATGGCATCTTGTGCATATAATTCAAAACGGTAGTGCCGTCAATTTGTCATTAAAGATCATAGAAACGTAAACACTTTGATATCTCTCAGTTTGTGCTTAAAGTTCAATTTTCATTCTCTCAGTTAATTGTTCAATCAGTGCTAGGAGTTTATAGGGATGGGGTGTCATCATTTTTAAGTGAAGATGAGCACTTTTGTTTTATTTAACCAAATGAAACAGAATCGAATCGAAACCAAATTAGACCTGCTCAATTCCGGGTCGGCCCGCCCATATAAATGGGCGGGTTTGGACACATGCTTTAGCCCACCGGGCCCGGCCCGGCCCGTTTAGAATATGGGCGGGCTTGGGTTGTAATATAGGCCCGGTCGGGCCTAAAAGCCCGGCCCGTAAACATATTATATTATATATATTATTCTATATATAATTATACATTATATGACTATACGTATAAAACTTAAAATAGTTGGAAGTATAATTTCATTACCATGTCATTATTCACAAGTGTCATTATTTTCCATTATTTTCATTATCTCAATGTTTTTACTTGGTTTATAAATAATATTTGGTTTTCATTATTTGATATTTATTGGCATTTGGCAGAGCAGTCTGGGAGATCAATTACTTTCTGGTGAAATGAAGGAGTGTCGAGAAGTTCTTGGAATCTTGGGATACCAATTACTTTTTGTGTTCTACTATTTAAATTTGAACTGTAATGATATACATTTGTTAAGTCTTTTTGGAGATACTCTTGACTATTTCCGTTGCACATTGTGAATCTGTGATTGTGCTTTTAATTATGGAATATGAATGCTTATTTGGAATTTGGATGCTTTTTATTTTCCAGAATCGTTTTGTGTTTCGCATTTAAACGTATTCTTGTGTTCAAAATGTGTTGTGAGTACATTAATTATTTAATTGCATTTAAAATGTTGTGATGTTATTTTATAAATATTTTCATTTTTTAACAAAGTTGACAAAAGGATATTTTCCGGGCCCAAAAGCCCGGTGGGCAGCCTGGCCCGCTCTCATGGGCGGGCTTGGACATATGAGGAGGCCCGTTTTACCGGGCCGGGCCAGGCCCGCCCACTACAAGTGGGCAGATTTTTTAGAATAAGCCCGACCCGAGCCCGGCCCGAGCCCGTGTTTGTGCAGGTCTAAACCAAATCATATGCAATTTTGTTTGCATTCGATAGTATTTCTTTCAAGTCATATTAGACCGAGTTGAGTCAAAACTATAACAAATTGAATAGAACCAAACTAAAAATTCAATAAAACCTTAACACTCGCTCCATCACTTTTTAGTTAATCATCTTTGTTTTTTCCAATCAAAGATGCTAGACTTTGACCAGTAACATATTTATATATATGCGCAAATCTTTATAATATGAAAATGTTCTTGATCAAAAGTAGTGTTTTTTAAAAACTAAGAAATCTAACACGAATATAGTATGAATTTTCTTTTATAATCATTATTCCAATTCATTTCAAATCAAATAAAAAACTGATAAAAAAAAGCAAAGGGATATACCCCTACGCTCAAGCTTGACTAGTTTCTTGACTTCTTCAAGTAAGGGCTGGAGGGGCTTCAAAGCTCGAGGTGGATTCATGAATCATGATTATGAATCTATGAGACTATGATATACACCCTCCGTCGCCAAATAAATCCCTCATTTGACCTGGCACATAAGTTATGAAATTTATTTATAAGATCATGAGATTAAAATTTATTTATGCAAAAGACATAACATGAAGCATTGAAGCATATGTATAATGATTTTCTTAAAAAGGAAACGAGAGATAAAATTACATCGTCCCTCTCAGTGCTGTAGTGAATTTATCCAACAAGTGAACTATGAATATATATATATATATATATATATATATATACACATACACACACACACATATATTATATACTTTTCTCTACATACATACATATATATATGTATATATATGTATATACATACATATATATACATATATATATGTAAATTATAGTTAAATTACATATACATATTATAGTTAAATTACAAACATGAAAATCTGTATACAAAATTTAAGTGCAAAAGTAATCTTATATGTGTGTGTGTGTATATATATAAATGTGTGTGTATGTATATAGAATAAGGATCAAATGAGAAGAGTGCTTATCGTAAAAGTGAGAATGCATCTGGTGCGTTCATTTTAAGATCTGTGCATCAGATTAGCAAAAAAGTGCACGAGAAAGTGCAAAAAATATTTAAAAAGTGATGTTAGACGCGGTGGCATTTTCCGTAGTTAATCAAAACTTTTCTGTCATCGCATAAAGTGGATCAGATTAGCAAAAAGGTGCATCAGGAATAGGTAAATGTGTAACTTCTCACTTCTCACGTTAAGATGTCTTCTCATTAGAACCCGACCCTATGTGTGTGTGTGTGTGTGTGTGTGTGTGTGTGTATGTATGTATGTATATATATATATGTGTATATATATATGTATATATATATATATGTGTGTGTATAGAGTCATTCTCTTGTCCAGCAGCCTTCCGTCCGAACGCCGTCCGAACACCGCCGTTTGGGGTGGTTCCCGGTGGAATTTTTTGTTGAAATGTTTTGAGCATGTTCCTCATCAGGTCTATTTTATACATACCAAATTTCAGATTAAAATTCGATGGGGAAGGCAGTCAAATAATTTGTTGAAGTTAACTGCGCAAAATTGTACATAGAAAAATGCAGTCAACTTCAAAAAATGAATTTGAATGCCTTCACGAACGAATTTTGAGCTGAAATTTTTTGTGGATAAACTAGACTTGATGAACAACATACCATAAAAATTTCATCAAGGGTTCGGACCGGGGACTACTGGACCTGAGAATTTCTCTATGTATATATAGGTATATAGGTGTGTGTATATATATATATATATATATATATATATATATATATATATATATATAGAGAGAGAGAGAGAGAGAGAGAGAGTTGGGTTCAAGTGAGAAAATGATCTTAGGAGAGAAATGAGAATGAATCTGGATCGTTAGATTGTATTCTATGAAATTGAATGTGCATTAAGTGAAACTGAAATGTATCTTAGGTGAAATAGAAATGTGCAGCACAAAATGTAAGACATAGTGGTATTATGTGAAGCTGAATTGTGCATTATGAAAAACTAAAATGTGCACTACGTGAAACTGAAACGTGCAGAATAAAAACTAGGATGCAGTGGCATTTTTGTGCCTTTTATTTTGCACATTTCAATTTCATGTAATACACATTTGAGTTTTACTTTTCATTCTGCACATTTCAATTTCACGTAATGCACATATCAGTTTTACCAAATGCACAGTTCAATTTCACATAATACAATCCAATGGTCCAGATTGATTCTCATTTCTCTCCTGGGAGTCCTTTCTCACTGGAACCACTCCTATATATATATATATATATATGTGTGTGTGTGGGGGGGGGGGGGTACATATATATATATATATATATATATATATATATATATATATATAAGATTACTTTTGCACTTAAATTTAGTATACTGATTTTAAATTACAAAATTTAAATTCGTACACAAAAGTTAAGTGTAAAAGTAATCTTAAAGCCAAATTAAACCAAAAATCACAATATAAACTGTAAACACGAAAAAAAGGCAATGCATCATGAATGACCAAACCACAACTCTTCTTCCCTACATTGTAAATGTGGCAACTACAACAACGTACCTTTCAGAGATTCCTTCCTCTTTGACTGAAGTCTCGCGTTCCAAGGATGTTCCTTACAGGGCTTCGCACTTGGATTGAACTCCAGTGTCCCAACAACGAAGCTAACAACAAGTCCTTCGCTGCACTTTGGTTGAACTCCCGCGTTCTAACTAACTCCTCTAAGCATTCTTCGTTAAGGCTAGGTCTGAGAACGGAGTTTATTTGTTCAAAAGGGGGTTAGTTGTCTATGAAGGAGAAGGTTAGTTTAAAAGGGGGTTAAGCCACGACAAATTAAGTGCTCGGTGAGGGAGGGACATGAGGGATTTCAGCTCAGCGTGTAACGGGCTAACCGACACTCCACCGGCTAAAATGGCTGATTGGATCGTTTTGGTTAGTTCAGGGACCTGATTGGGTGATTAATTAGTGCGAGGGCTTAATTGAGAAATTGTCCAAAGTAGGAGGACCTATTTGAGAATTTTCTCTTATTCTTGTGGTCAGGGGCGCCTTTCCTCCCAAATTGCCCATCCCTACCGGCTACTGAAAATATATACTCGTAATTGATTTCAATACCTCACTATCGACATGATTCATGCTGCATCGTGAATTCGTGACTAATGGCCTAATGCTATTCTTGTGTTTTCTTTACTATTCCCCTTCACTAGATTTCCTCAATCATTAGAGTTTGTTATCATTCTAATAATTGTCAATAAAGTTTTAATAATGTAATCTATTTATATATAAGAAAAGAAATAACTCATTAAAAGATAATTATATATGTCATCTCCCCACAATTTGCTCATTTGTTATACAAATGACATCTGTCAAATGCATCTACTTGCTTACTCGACATTTAGGACATTTTAGGTTTCCACGTTGCTTACATAAACTATTCAAAGCAACGCTTTACCAAACTAAGCATATGCTGCATATTCTGCATACAATGTATTGCCGTGTTTATTAAGGGCTTTGTATAGGAGATGTTACACACTTTTTTGTAAACACCTTCGTAAGCAGCTATTTTTCTGTGAATAGATTTGTCTATGATTAGGGCATTTACGGCATTAGGCTATTCACAGGCACACTATTAGGGATGGATTCGGGCCGGGTCGGGCCCGGTCGGGCCGCCGGTTCGTATCACATGGGCCCGGGACCGGCCCGAGGGTTGGACGGGTCCGGTTCGGGCCGAGCCACCCGCCCGGGTCACGGGTCGGACCACCCGCCGGGCCGGGCTGGTTAAATATTTTTTTTTTAAATTTATATTTTATACTTTATAGTTTTATACAAGTATTAAAAAACAAACTTCAAGTGCATTTATTTCAAATGAAATAGGAACTACATTTGAAAATTAAATAGGAACTATAATTGTTTTTAATCGGAATCTCCGGCATAGGTAGAGACACCATCTGTTGTAGATTCATCCATAAAGTGTTGGGATGGAGTGATGTCAATTTCTTGAGCTCTACGTGCTGCTTTCAACCAATCGTGGTAGCATATAAGCATCTCAAGAGATTCAGCGCTCAACCTCGTTCTGGTTTGTGTTAGAACATTGTCGGCCGAACTAAATTCTTGTTCCACGGCAACCGTTGAAACCGGCATTGATAGCACTTGCTAAAACCGGGAACATTCTTTCTTTTCCCTTCCACCAGTTTAGTACGTCAAAATCATCATCTTCTTCAAAATCAACATCATAAGTTAAATACAAAGAAATCTCATTAATTGTGCTTTGTTGTGTAGCGGGAGTTGATTTTGTTTTTTTAATAAGATTGGCAAACGTAGATTTGAAAATTGATTTTCCTTTAGATGATGTTTGTGTCGGGGGAGGGGGCGCATTGCCATATTGTGCATGAAACTCATTGAATAATGCATAAAATATATCACTAACCTCGTTGTATTCTTTTTTCAGATCAATTGAGTTGTCCTCATACATTGGCAATGGACCAAAAAAAGCAGCATAATAATAATTCAAACATTCTTCTAAAGAACCAAGTCTAAAACGAGCATAATAAATATATATGTAATATATAATTAGATAACAAATATAAGTAATATAATACTATTTATATCTATTTATAGTTTATATAAGTAGATAATTAATATAAAGTATAAACTATAAATAATAAATATAATATATTGGAGAATGGAGAATAAGAGAATTAGAGAGTAGAGAGTTAAGAATATGATTTAGGAAGAATTGGAGAAGAGAAGAAAAAATGTTTAAGTTTAGGAGTATTTATAGGGTTTTTTATCCCCCACCCCCCACCACCCCCCCCCCCCCACCAGCCAACCCCTCCGGACCCCCCTTTACCCCACCCAACGGCTATATAGCCGTTTGGGTTGTCCCCAGCCCCACCCCCAACGGCTAGTAGCCCAAGAGCCAAAACAAAACAAAAAATTAAAATTAGACCGGACCCGGGCCCAGACCCGACCCAGCCGGGCCGGGTCACAAAAATCCAGCACCGAGCCCACCGCTTCCCACCGGTTCGGGTCCATACCCGGTCCCGGACCGCCCGACCGGGCCGGGTCACGGGCCGGGTGGCCCGAACCGAATCCATCCCTACACACTATTCACAAACGAAAAATAACTACTCACATGTGTTTAAGATGATTTGTACAAAAAAATGTGCAAGAATTTTTTTAAAAACATCGACTTTCACAGTTAAATAAATGGGCCCAATCATTAAAACCATCAAGTGGTCTTAAATTTATTGATAGGGGGCATCACGCATGCAAGTATGCGACCGACAGTTTCACACCATAAAACTGATAAAAGTGTTGCTAAGTGGGCATTTGGAAATACGAAGGCAGCAGGCCAGCAGATAAGTATTTAAAAGCAGAAATTGTTGTTTATCCCACAAATCTCAGTAATAATTATGTCAATGATTTTCCAACTTAACAAAAATACTCAAGCTCAAAGCAAAATGAAGCAACTTTAAATCAGAATGGATAAAAATAAAATCTCCCGATGCCATCCGCTTCTATGTACGGGCAGCAGTTGGAGCAGCTCCGGGTGCGCGTGGAGGCTGACCAGGCTTGGGAGCATTGTCCTGAAAAGCATTGAGTGAATAATTGAGCAGTCTCAATTAACAAGAACAAGATAAACTTCCAAAAATACAGAGGGTAAAATGTTTTCAACTAAAATTAAGTAATGTTTTGAATGGGAAATGAATGCAGGATAAATAGTACTCCCGTGACTAGCACCATGCAGGGCAGGTCCACCCTTCTCCCGCCTCACAACAACCTAATAGCTATAGTACACATTTCTAGTTATGTGAGGTCATTATAGCTTGAATTTTACATAAACTTTATCATCAAATAATTAAAAAAAATATATAATTATCAAAATCACAATATGATAAAAGTACCACAAATTAAGAAAAAGGTATTTAAACTTGAATAGTTAATTAAAAGAGCTAGAATTTCATTTGGTAAGGGAATCGGCGATTTACTTTCACAAATAGGAAAGCATAGAAACTCAAATTCTCTGTTGCAGAAGATGTCCTCAGGGTCAAACTTATTATTCAAAATAAGCCCAAACGGAAGTATGCGAGCATGAACCAGTATTATATTAATGAAAATTCAATCCCTTATTTATCAAATAAATAATCTATTTGGAAAGTTTCAGTGCTAATACTCTTCATTCGTTTATCATTAAGGTCCTTATTCCAATATAGAAGAAAGCTAGGATGCCGAGAAATAACCTGGACCAAAACCTAACTTGGACTGCTAACAAGTAACGACTTCCTCTCTTGTTAGAGGAAGCTCTAGATCTGGTTCAGATGGTAAAGGGTAGAGAAGATAAAGAATGAGAGTGAGTGGGAATTTGTTTAACGGTGTTTGTTTAAAAGATATATTCTGTCCAGTTTATTACTCCCTCCGTCCCGCTAGCAATGGGACAAGAGGGAGTGACACGCAAATCAATAAAAAGTGGTTTATGTGGTTGATATTGAATTGATAAAGTAAGAATAAAGTAAGAATGATTTAGAGCCACACAAACTTTGCCAAATTTGGTATGGGACAATCTTAGTGGGACGGACCGATAAGGTAAAACGGGACAATCATAGCGGGACGGAGGTAGTATATTTTTGTTCCATTCGTTGAAAGTGTGGATTATTAGGTTAAAATATTTAAGTAGGGATTATTTTTGTTTAATTGATAGAAGTAGGGATTAATCTTGTCAATTCAGCCAAATTAATATTCCATTTTTCCCTAATAAATTTACCATGTTTGACTGGAACACGGAATAATAAAGTAAAACTTGGTTAGAGAGGAGAGAACTTACATTAACCACAATTTAATTACTAAAAAAGAAACTGAGAAGGTCATTGGTACAACCAAAATATGCCAAAAGTATCAAGGCTGTTTCGAATGATCACATCATTTGTGAATGACAAGGGGCTTGCTAACCAAATAGTCAAGGCATAAAACCCAACAGCTGGGATCAAGCATAGAGGAGGTCGAGATTTTATCATTTTCTCTTTTGGGCTTCATCACATTGGAGGAGGCAAGATTTTAACATTTTATTCTTTTGGGTTTCATTTTTCCATCATTTGCAATGGAGCCAAAGATTCATTATTTTTTGGCTTGAGGTTATGATGGAATAAAGCAAAATGGCTCACTAAACTGTTTGCGCTTCTTTGTTATGGAGCAGCAGTCAGTCAATGCAATCTTGGACGCGATTTTCACTATGTGTCATCCGGAAACAGTCTCTCTGTGCTTTAGTACAGGGGTAAGACTGCGTACATCCGACCCCCCCTTACCCCACCGTAGGTGGGAGCCTTTGCGGCACTGGGGTAAATGAAAATGTTGATTCTTTTGGGTTTCATCACAGCAAGTACCGAAGTCCATAGAGTATACAATTTAGTTCATGCATACTTCTTAAATACTAATATAGAACTAACAATAACGAGTAATCATCTTACAACCAACCAAATACATTTATGGATGACTTTGATCTCTTTGATGTTATTTTAAGAACAAGGCCATTAGATGGAACTCAAACTCGAACATTAGAAGAATCAAACAAGATGAACAGTACTCAAGGGACCAAAGTCTGTTCATGTGATGTATTTGTGGTTCAGACTTCACAGATATTATGCATAACATTAGCTCGTACTTAGTAATAAAACTACTAAATTTTGTTTGTTGATACATATCTAGGCTAAAAGCTCGATGCGACTGAATTCTCACAATTTGCCTCTTAAAACAATTCACCTTGACACCCATATTAGACATTTTAAACCTAGGGATTGGACAATGTGTTTCATAATAAGAACTACTCCCTCCATCTCATCCCACTATAATTGTCCCATTTTTCCTTTTCCGTCCATCCCACTAATTTTGTCCCATACCATATTTGGTAATATTTGTGTGGCTCCAGTGCAATCTTACTTTATTCCCTCTTTATCAACTCATTATCAACCACATCATTTCACTTTTCTTAAAAACCACGCCACTCCCTTACATGCAAATATTAGGGGGATGGAGGTAGTATATAGTTTATATTGACCGTGACCTTTTCAAAGCTTAACGCAGAATGTAGCATCAGTGATGAGAGGAAACAGAGAAGACCAAAATTTTGGACTCCTTAGGGGAACTGGATTAATTATACAGTGAAATTAAGCAAACAAACGTCACTTCACATCTTATTTGCAATTAGAATTAACATTTTGCATCAAAGAAAATGCAACCCTGTTGTAGGCATGTCATTTATTTGGCAGCCATCGAAAAATGTTTGACAGCCAGAATAGTTGAATGAAACAGACATAAGATAGTACATGAACTTTAATGACATGATAAAAATGGGTAAGCCGTAAGCCAACAGCATTAATGCATCAACACAGAAGTTTACTATTACAGATGCTACGATCAATAATCAATAATAATAACAAAATAAGACCAAGAGAAAATGAGAAAGAAAGTACCATTGGGCGTCTGAAGTGACGCTGTGGAGGTTCTCGATTTCTTCGGTCAGTACGGGAGCGAACTCTGACAACCTTGGAGTGAATTGCACATGAAACACAGTATTGCACCTTCAAATAGAGCTTTGGAAGAGTGTATGCTGGGTAGTGAAAAAAAGACGTTGATCAAAATACTAGAAACTCTACTTGGTAACTGAGCCCACTAAATTATTCTGTTGATGAACATACATTCAAAGGCACAAGCCTCTTGGACATCCCTAACAGCCGCTTGCTCAACAATGTTTCTTACAAGAAACCTCTTGATGGCTTTGTCCTGTAGCAAAACAAGTAAAGTTAACCACCGTCAAAAGTGCTAATGATTCTCAATGAAGCTCACTAATCAATACGGTGAATGCTACCATACCCACTAATAAAAGAAGGTCTCGTGCCTACAAGGCATATGATTGAACCAATTCATTATCTAATCATTTATTTAGTCTAATTGGAGATACCGTAGAATTTTCCCTAATTAATAAATCCACTTCCCAGCAAAGTATTAAATATGTAACATGGCAGTATACAGTCAATCCCAGAGAGCAGAGAAGAGCTGCCTGCCGTGAAATCACTATAACAGCATAGCAGATAGCAGGATGATCACTATGTGGATAACTTTTATGCAGACAACAAGATTTTACGTATGAGGATAATGCATACAAAACACACCAAATTCATAAAATGGCATATATCACTCAAAACCACAAACTTCATGACATTACAATTAAAATCATTCGAACTATTCCGCTTTTAACGAGGGAGAAGGCTGCATACTAGAGTAGTGGTAGATGACTCAGAAGAGTCGAAAATAGAATAAGAAGAACAGTAGTTGTCAAAAGTAGTTGAGGAAGCAAGGTCTCTGGCTGTCATTCAAAAATAAAAAAAGATGACTAAGAACAACATTTTAGAAAGCTGGGATGGGTTTTGGGTACTTCAATAGGTATTTGTTGGGTTAATTTTTAATCTACAAAGTGGACTTCACCCCAGTAATCCTATCAATCTCTAAGCCTAGCGCATACAACAAAGAAATTCAATAGCGCTGCTATATTATTTGCTACTACGGCTATAGCCCTCACAATTGTGGCAGCTATTCCCGCTACTGTCAAACACTCCAAAACAGGGGCTCATGTAGCGCTTGAGTGCTCAAGTGCCAGTCTGCTCGGCTACAAGGTAATAGAACGCTATTGAATTCACTGAGGTAGATAGAGCTAAAACGATTTCACATTGGATCTATAAAACATTGGAATCACCCATCTGAAGTTTTAATTAAAGATTAAAGAGATACTATTTCAACAAAGCTGGTAATGTGTTCAATTTAAAACATGCAGGACTCATTCGTACACAGCAGGTTATGATTAACCGTTACTGAACTGACAGCTAGAACGGCGCAGATAAGAAATCTATAAGCAGGAAGTTAGGCACACGGAGAAAGATTATAAAAAATGAATTCGACGTGAGCTAAGACATTTCATGAAGTTTGCAGGGTTGAAACCTTAGGGCAGCACTTTCCGCAGTTGGAGCAACGGACGAACTTGACGTGGCCACGGCCATGCTTATTGCGACCTCCATTCCTCCGCTTGAAAGTCTGCAAACGAAGAAAAAGTGAAATAAATATGAAATTCCTTTTTCATAGATTGACAATTACATTATCATCCAACCATTATCGCTAGGTTTGAGCTACAGATTGGTATGGAGGAACGGCGAGCTGCGGAAGAAATAGGGTTCAAACTTCGTGTATCCTCAATCTTATTTATTTATATAAGGCCTTTTCAACTATAGGGAATGGGTCCAAAGGTTATAAGCCCAAAAAAATCAAATGGTCTAAAATACGGACCACCTTATTTCTATGCTCCCCCATTTAAATGAGTTATTGACATTTTTTCTCTTATTAGATCATTTGGAGTGGTGTGAGCGTCTAAATATCAAAATTGAACTTTATTCATATGAAAACAGTGTTTTGACTTTTATTTCTCTGTATTCCAGCACCGTCAATAAAATACACAATGCATATTTGTTTACATATCAATTTAGTAAAACATTAATTAAATTATTATAAGTAATGTTTTCCTTTTAGTTTTTTCTCTGATTAATTATAAAATAAAAAAGACACATTTTGATGTGCAAATAAATAAATTTCATTAATTTTTTCAACGTTTTTGGTTAACAAACAAAATAATTGAAGTAAAGATTGATTATGGAGTATTCAATTATTTGTGAAGGCTCCATTAATTAAAAATTTGTGTTCTGTGTTTTTTTGGGGCTCAAAAAAACTTCAATAGTTAAAACTTTCGGTTTTTTTCATTTAATATATTACATATTGGTGTTCGCAGGTCGCCCGCGCACACGAGTCGCGGTTTTTCTTCTTCGTTTCGGGATTTGATTGGCACCCCCCCTGCGCGTAAGAGAGAGCCTTTACCCTTAGGAATCTTAACTCCTTAAAAGAGGCTTCCCTTTATAAGGGGGTGAAAATCCCTTGAGTTTTTCGGTGTGGGATAAAACACACTAGAAACCCATCATTTTCCCAGTTTTTCCATTTCAACGAGTGAACTTCGAGAATCAATTTCTCATTCACCCGTTATCCGTTTTGAGTGTACCACATATCGAATTGTAGCCCTTAACAAGGACAATCCGAAACCACTTTGACCCGACCCAAATCGGAAGTGGACCCCACTCAAATAATTGCCCCAAAATGACCATTTAATACAATTTTTAACACATTTTTCCAACAATCCCCCACATGAATGAAAATTGATTTTCGAGACTTAAAAAGACACGAAGATAGGAGGACACGTTGTGTTCACCGGATGATCCTTGCATACGGAGAGGTAGGTTTTATCCTTTGAACCTTCCGTTGTAAAGACACGTTTATTTACTGGCTGTCTAGTAGACTCGATGTCCTTGAACTATACTGCCGTCGTGTAAACATTGACTTATCTTTACACAAGAACCTTCCAACTTTGTTCCGTTCTCATGGGTGTGCCCGTTTTGGCCATGGGTCACCGTCCTGGTTCTGCAAGAGTTTCTAAAGAACTGAGCCTTTACAGTTCTCCTTTGAAGAGGCCCTCTTCTCTCTCACATAGGTGATTCTTTCACGAGTATCCCGCATACTCTTCCAATGTTATCGAGTAGATCAACATTTTAGAATCATTAAAGCAAACGTTTTTGCTAACCTCGTGCGGGAGTCACTGTTTTGACGAGGAGTGGATAGGAGTCCGAGACCCCCACAGTGACCATCCTTCGCTCTATAATTTAGTTGTCCCTTTTGAACCTAGGACCAACTAGGTTGGGTATCCACTATAGAACTTTTCAATTCACGGGCTTTAGTCCCATTCCTCGTGACAACTTCTCCAACAATTCTCTATCAAATGCCTTGGTTAGCGGATCCGCTATGTTATCCTTTGACTTCACGTAGTCAACAGTGATAACACCTGTTGTGAGGAGTTGTTTAATGGTGTTATGTCTACGACGAACGTGTCTAGACTTACCATTGTACATATTGCTCTATACCCTTCCAATTGCCGCTTGACAATCGCAATGTATGCATATTGGAGGGACATGCTTTTCCCAACTTGGAATATCCTCGAGAAAATGGCTTAGCCATTCAGCCTCTTCGGTGCACTTATCCAAGGCTATTAGCTTAGACTCCATCGTGGATTTAGCTATTAACGTTTGTTTTGAGGATTTCCATGACACGGCTGCACCTCCCAAAGTGAAAACATATCCACTTGTGGACTTTGAGTCCTTAATGTCGGATATCCAACTAGCGTCGCTATACCCTTCAACTACAGCTGGATATCTTCCATAGTGCAGTCCAAGGTTTTGGGTTTTACGTAAATACCTCAAAACTCTTACTATTGCCTTCCAGTGTTCATCACCGGGGTTGCTAGTATATCTACTCAACTTGCTAACCACAAAGGCAATATCAGGCCTGGTACAACTCATTAGATACATCAAGCTTCCAATAATCCTAGCGTATTCTACTTGAGAAATACACTCTCCACGATTTTTGGTAAGTTGTACGTTTTTATCTAATGGTGTCCTTGCCTCTTGATAATCATCCTTATTAAATTTCGTAAGGATTTTATCAACGTAATGGGATTGGCTTAGCGTAAGACCGTCAGGTCCTCTAATTATTTTAATCCCAAGGATTAAATCGGCCAGCCTCATATCCTTCATGTCAAATTTAGAATTTAACATGTTTTTGGTAGAATTAATCATTAGATTATTGCTACCCACGATGAGTATATCATCCACGTATAAACATAAAATGACATAGCCGTCTACCGTGCTCTTCACATAGACACATTTGTCACTTTCGTTTATTTTAAACCCATTAATCAACATTGCATGATCGAACTTTTCGTGCCACTGTTTCGGGGCTTGTTTCAATCCATACAATGATTTAATTAATTTACACACTTTCCTTTCTTGGCCTGGAACATGAAAGCCCTCGGGCTGTTCCATTTAGATTTCTTCGTCTATATCGCCATTTAGAAAAGCGGTTTTTACGTCCATTTGATGAACTTCCAATTTCCGCAATGCGGCAATTGTTAGTATCATCCTAATGGAATTTATTCTCGTCACAGGAGAATACGTGTAAAACTAATCATGGCCCTCACGTTGCTTGTATCCCTTGATTACAAGTCTGGCCTTGTACTTATCGATGGAACCGTCGGGTTTCATTTTCCGTTTGAAAATCCACTTGGATCCCAAAGGTTTATTTCCCGGAGGAAGATCAACCAATTCCCATGTGTGATTTTTAAGGATAGAATCCACCTCACTTTTGATGGCTTCTTTCCACATAGGACCTTCAGTAGACGTCACGGCTTCCGTATAAGTCTGTGTCTCATTTTCTACCAAACATGTTAGAAAATCCGGTTCATTTTCTACCATACATGTTAGAATATCCGAGTCAACTTCTACCAGGTAGGTGAGAAAATCCGGTCCGAAGGATTTTTCAATTCTAGCACGTTTGCTACGTCTAGGTTCGGGTTCTTCTCCGGATCCCTCACTAGTATTTTCCATAGCTACGTCAAATGTTCGTTTTGACGTGCTAGGCCCTTCGTTGGACTTGCATGGAAATACATTTTCAAAGAATGAAGCATTCCTTGATTCAATTATTGTGTTTTTATGTACATCCGGATTATTCGAATCATACACTAAAAACCGATAAGCACTACTATTTTGTGCATACCCAATAAAAATACAATCCACCGTTTTTGGACCGATTTTTATTTTCTTAGGTTTGGTACAAGCACCTTAGCAAGACACCCCCACACTTTCAAATATTGATAGGAAAGCCGTCTGCCTTTCCACAACTCGTACGGAGTTTTATCATATTTTTTCCGGGGAACCTTATTTAAAAGGTAATTGCTTGTCAAGATTGCTTCGCCCTACATATTTTGTGGCAAGCCCGAACTTACTAGCATCACGTTCATCATATCTTTCAATGTGCGATTCTTTCGTTCGGCAACACCGTTTGATTGAGGTGAATAGGGTGCGGTACGTTCGTGTACTATACCCACACTAGCGCAAAAGTCACCAATTGGTGCTTCATACTCATCACCTCGATCACTCCTAATCGTCTTAATCCGTCGATTAAGTTGGTTTTCCACTTCATTCTTATAAAGAATGAATTTATCGATTGCTTCGTGTTTATTTTTTAATAAATAAACGTAGCTATAGCGTGTGCTATCATCGATAAAAGTAATAAAATATTTATTACCGCCACGTGTTTGTATTGATTTAAAATCACAAACGTCACTATGAATTAATTCAAGTGGTTCCGTTTTTCTTTCAACCGATTTGAAAGACGTTTTCGTTAGTTTTGCCTCTACACAAACTCCACATGTGTGCTTCACATCAATTGTGAATTTTAGAATGTGTTCCATGTTAATTAATCTACGTATAGAATTAAAATTAACATGTCCTAGTCTACCATGCCACACATTAGAAGACTCAAGCAAGTAAGCAGAAGGGATTTTATTATTATTATTAATAATAGTCATTACATTGAGCTTAAAAAGTCCATCACATGTATATCCCTTGCCCACATACATTCCCGATTTAGACAAAACAAGTTTGTCCGACTCAAAGACCATGTGGAAGCCATGCTTGTTCAACAACGAACCGGAAATCAGGTTTTTGCGTATCTCCGGAACGAACAGCACTTGGTTGAGAGTCAGCTCCTTACCCAAAGTCATCTTCAGGACCACCTTGCCCACGCCTTCAACCGCGGAATGAGCCGAGTTACCCATCCACACTTTCTCACCATTTGATGGCTCAAAAGTTGTGAATAACTCCCGGTTTGAGCAAATATGCCGGGTTGCACCGGTGTCCACAAACCACTCCTTGGAATTGGATCCAAAGAGGTTGACCTCGGTCACCACAGCCGCAAGGATGATGTCTTCATCCTTTTGCTCACCTTGCACCAAGTTGACTTGAGAGTCCCTCTTCTTCTTGGGTGCCTTGCAATCCGCGGACTTGTGTCCGTTTTTATTGCAATTGAAGCATTTTCCGTTGAACTTTGTCTTGGAAACGCCTCCCTTGGGACCGAGCTTGCTCTTCCCATTATTCTTGGTTTTGGAGCCTTTTGCATGCTCCACCACGTTTGCCTTGGCGCCATGAAGAATTGGGAGTTTCCCATCGTTCTTCCGGTTATCCTCTTCGATCCGCAGACGGAGGATCAATTGCTCCAAGTTCATTTCCTTTCGCTTATGCTTAAGGTAGTTCTTGAAATCCTTCTAAGCCGGCGGCAATAAATGGATAATTGACGCCACTTGGAAAGACTCACTAACTGTCATTCCTTCATCTCGAATTTCGTTGAAGATCATTTGCATTTCCTCAACTTGACTC